ATTTCTCTGGTTTTTATAGATTTATTTTTAAGTAATATTTTATTAGGATGTTAGAAAGGCCTGTTATTTAGAAGGCTTTCCTCATGTAGGTCTGATATTGTTAGCAGACAACATAATAGGTGCAAAGTTCATGATTCTGTATTTCTTAGGGCAAACCTTTCAATGTCTGGGTCAGATAAGATTTTAGTCTCGTATGAAGATTTCTTGCCCATTATCATTTAGGTTAGGTTAAGTAAACACTTAGTTTGACGTAGATATATCTTTCTTTACATCTGGCCAGTCAGAGGATTATTACTCAAATTACCACTGTCTTTTGTAACCAATTATGCTGTTTGAATATTGATTTCTTGGTGATGTCAGTCCATGTATAAAATATCATGTATTTCCTGAATATGTTCAGAATAGGCTCAAGAAGAAGATGAAGAAGGAAAAGAAGACAGTTGTCAATTTTTGATTAACTATTTGGTCTAATTGTTTTCCAGTTAATTGAAGCCTATTTCCTGAATATGCTGAGAAGAAAGTAGTCAATTTTGGATGGACTATTTGGTCCAATTGTTTTCCTGGTAATTGAAATAAAACATAGATCTTCCCCCTCATCTGACTTCATTTTTGACATGGAATCTAATATGTACAACATCCAGGTCCCACCTGGAGACTGGCATGGCCCCTGCATGCAAGGTTTTTTCTCCTGGGGGAACGGGGTTCCGGAACCTCCTCGACAAAATCCGTTTAAAAATGCTTAAAAGTTTGTGAGCTTTCGGTATGCAGATCGAAAACTTCATTCCCCTCTTGAGAGTTCCGGCACCTCTTTAAAAACAACAACAACAACAACACCCTGCCTATGTATGCCCTGCAATTAAAATTGGGGAGGGGAAATAAACAAAGATGGGAAAGGTATTCTGCTCAGGTTCCTGAGAGTTAATACAATCCTGGAAGAGGGAACCTGGGCAGGAAAGAGGATTTTAAAATCACGTATCTCCTCCACCTTTCCATGATTCCTTGCATGCCTCTAGGCTTTTTCCTTCTAAGAACAGACCTTGTGGTTGACCTCTGAGGCTGAAGACAGCAAAACCGGGCCAGCTACGGACATGGTGGAGAGGCTGTGGCTCAATGGCAGAGCCTCTGCTTGGCATGCACAAGGTCCCAGGTTCAGTCCCTGGCACCTCCAGTTAAAAGGACCAGGCAGGAGGTGATGGGAAAGACCTCAGCCTGAGACCCTGGAGAGCCATGAAGTGGGGCTGTAGCTCAGTGGTCGAGCGTCTACTTGGCATCCAGATGGTCCCAGATTCAGTCCCTGGCACCTCCAGTTAAAAGGACCAGGCAGGAGGTGATGGGAAAGACCTCCGCCTGAGGCCCTGGAGAGCCGCTGCCAGTCTGCGTAGACAATCCTGACCTTGACGGACCGAGGGTCCGATTCGGTATAAGGCAGCTTCATGTGTGTGCTTCATGGTGCAGGTTTCTGCGTACCTAGGAGAATATCAGTCACACAGAAAAAAATGTATATTAAAAATAAAAAGGGGGAAAAGACTGATGAGGGCCGAGCATTACTGCTGCTCTTTGAATGCTGAGAGCACTTAAAGAAAAACAAGGAACACTTCATTTGTCAGCCACAGTGCTTTTGTGCGTTCCGTTAAGACGCTGAACTGCAGGCTGTGGAAGGTCGGTAGTTCAGCAGTTCGAGACCCGAGTGTGCCGCATGACGGAGTGAGCTCCCGTCTCCAGTTCCAGCTCCTGCCAACCTAGCAGTTCGAAAGCAAGAAATTGCAAGTAGATAAATAGGTACCACTTTGGTGGGAAGGGAACAGGGTTCCGTGCGCCTTGGTGTTTAGTCATGCCGGCCACATGACCACGGAAATGCCTTCGGACAGTGGTGGCTCTTCGGCTTTGAAACGGAGAGGAGCACCGCAACCCTAGAGTCGGATTCGACTGGCTTTCGAGCAAGGGAACCTTTACCTTTATCTTCTTCATTTATATATCGAATCCACGCCTATCACATCTGAATTGGATGGAAACTTCCAGCGGACATTCTATAGTCAGTATTTATTTTTCTTTAAAAAACTTGCTCTCACATACACATTTTAGGGTTGCCAGGTCCCCTGGCCACTGGCTGGGGATGGGGGAATAGAGTGGCTGGATCTAGGTCAGGAAACTCCTGGAGATTTGGGGGCTGGAGCCTGTGGAGGAACAGGGACCTCAGTGGGGTACAATGCCATAGAGTCCACCCTCCAAAGCATCCACGTTCTCCAGGGGAACTGAGCCTTTGTAGTCTGAAGATAAACCGTAATTCTGGGGGAGGCATCCCTAATTACACACCATTGTTGTCCCAGTTGTAACTATCTTACAAAGGGTGTTTTCAATGTAAAGCCGACCATAAGGGCCTGTGCTGCCCCCAGGCAGCGTTAATGTACCTTTAAGAGTAGTTGCACCTGGGAATTGGGAGTCCACAATTAGGGGTCCCAGAAGCTTCCCTTTGACTGGCTCATTAAGAGTTATTTCCTGAGCTCAGAGGCGCAAAGATAGGAGTTTTATTGTTCTTTTCCGTTTCTTTGTCCATCAACCCTTACCGCAAGGAGAGGGGAAGCCCGTCTCTTTTCTCACCACGACCATAGGATTGACCTAGATCAGAAAGATGTTAACGCTCTAACCAGCTATCCGCTCGATTGTGAGTAAACGATCTACTGAATGCCACACCGCTAGCTAGGCCTGTGAGTCACGGGGCCAAGTGAACGTCATTCCAACTTTCTTGGATTTCCACCAGACCACAAAGTGTCCCTCACCTCCATTCCAGCCCAGTTGGCACGCAGGGGACACCAACAGTGCGGAGGCCTGTCCTTTGAGGGCGTTGTCCGGGCAAGCAGACATGCGAGATGGGTGGGCAGCTGCCGGTAACCAGAAGCGTCTGTTGATTAAACATAAGACTGGCGTGTGTGTGCCTCTCTCTCGCTCGCTGGCGGGCGTCTGTTGGCTTTTATGGTCTTCAACGTATCCACAATGCGGTTGCGTCTTCCATACTTCTCAGATCTGATGTGAAAAGAAGTGTGAGGAGTCTGGATCCTGAAGTGGTTTAATTGCCACTGCCCCCCCCCCCCACCCTGTCTGCTTCTTCCCCAATGCCATCTGAATCATTCAATGATTACCATCAGAGAGTACCATCACTAGCACTTCAATTGTTAATTGTTGGACTGTTTTTAATGCTTAATGTTGTTGTTGTAAGTTGTTTAAATTTTGTACATGGGTTTTTATGGTGCAGGGTACCAATTACTGTAAGCCGCCCTGAACCTGCTTGCGGGGAGGGTGGGGTATACATCAAAATAATAAATAAATAAAATCAGGGGTCATTTCCTGCATGAGCGCACAGGAGCAGAGCTCCTGTTCACAAAGGAGTAAGCCTTAGGAATCTGGGACACCATTCTCACTCGTCGAAATCCACAGGGGGAAAGACGGCCCACTCCTTTGCCGACTGGTGGCCCAATAGAAGACTACCCGTTTTCTAAGCTTTGATTCCCAGCAGCAGGCAGAGAGATATACTACCGGCTAGGGTTGCCAGGTTCCCTCATGGCCACCAGTGGGAGTCAGGACTTAGGGGATGGGCCGTAGAGTTACCATCTTCAGGCTGGAAAACTCCTGGAGATTTGGGGATGGAGCCCGGGGCGGGGGGGGGGGGCAGGGACCTCAGTGGAGTACAAGGCCATCGAGTCCACCCTCAAAAGCATCTGTTTTCTCCCAGGAAACTGATCTCTGTAGTCTGGAGAGGAGCTGTAATTCCAGGGGCTCCCCAGGTCCCACCTGGAGGATGGCATCCATATGACTAGGAAGTGTCACATAGTCTCCACATGTCACGCTGCTCCCCATTCTCAGACTTGTCTGCTGCAGTAACCTTTGTTGGTTTCACTCTCCATGTAAGTGAGGCACTCTCCATGTAAGTGAGGCAGGCTTCTACCCTTTCTGCTTTTCAGCAACGCCCGCAGCAACACATTCATTTTCGAAGGCTTTCAGCTAATGGCCGCTGGAGTCAGTTTGGGAAACTACTAGTGCTGATTTTTGACTGCTGTATTTTGCACGCTTGCCCTGGGAATGGGGAAGGAAGGTGGTATGTTACAAAATATGTTTATAAAAATAAAATCACAGTTAAGAACGTAAGAGAAGCCAGTGTTGGATCAAGCCAAAGGCCCATCCAGCCCAACACTCTGTGTCACACAGTGGGCAAAAACACCAGGGGCCACCAGGAGGTCCACCAGCAGTCCTGCTTCTTGACAGAGCCTCTCCTTTATGCATTATAAAGCTCTGCAATTTTTTAAAAAGTGGATTTAAAACATGCATCTTCTTACCACAGGCAAATCTCCCAATATGCACAGCTAAAGATCAATTAAAAATACATATATTTTTAACGGTGGACGGGGACGTTTGATTAAAAATAAAGTAATCAGTGCTTAGGTATTTGGAATATTCTCTCTCCCCCTTCCCCGGTTTGTTTGTCTCAAAAATCTGCTTCAACCTAACATAAGTAAAGCAAAGCGCCTGAATGAGCGGGAGGACTGAATACGCCCACGGAGGTCTTTTGGCTCCTCCCACCCTCCGTAACTGTAGCCATAGCGACACCCCGAGGGCGGTCGAGGTGGCGGATAAAAATGCAGAGCGGGCGCATGCGCGGACCGAATAACCCGGAAACGGAAGTGAGGAGAGGGTCTCCATTGATAGTGGGCAACGGAATAGTTGCACACGCGTGTCGGCGGTTTCGTGAACGGCGGCATCATGTGAGAAGGGGGAGAGAGATGGGAGGGAAACTAGGAGGGGATGCGAGAAATCTTCCTGATGGGGAGCTGGCTGGGAGGGAGAGCGGAGTGGGTCACCCTATCTACTGTCATTGTTAATAAAGGCGCGCCAAAACAGTGTAAAGGCGGGTTGTTGCTTGTGGTTTTGTGAATGCCCTTCCCGGGTGATTGATTTGCGGGCAGGAGCGGGGGGGGGGTGTTACTACCATTATGTGTGGCTTGCTCGTCCCTGTTGTTCCTTATTTATCTCTGCATAACTCTGTCCGATTTCCTTCCCCCCGGATTAATTGTAGCAGGTTTTTTTTTTTGCATTTGGTTTATTTTTAAGATATATGCCCTTTAACAAAATGTAGGTGAATAACGTCTGAGCCAGGTTCTGTTCAACAGCGTTGCTGAAATAGTGAAGAAAAAAATAGTAATATTGTTATTAATAACGAGACTGCTGTTAGCAAGGAGAAAATTGGCTGTGTCGTAGAGCAATGCTCCCTCTAAGCCGTGGAGTATTGTGAACAAAAACTCTACTCTGTGAGCTACTGGCATTAAAGTTGTGAGCGAGCGATTTGGCTACTGCATCAATTAGTTTGCTCTGGAGCTGAAAGGTGTGAGCCGGAGGCTAAAAGACTGTGAGCTAGCTCACACTAGCTCAGCTTAGAGGGAACACTGGTCGTAGGTCAGCAGAAGGCGATGTCAATAGAGACTCTCAGTTGAACTAATCAAGAGCAACAGAATGGGGAGGAGAATCCCATAATTCACTCAAATAAAACTCGAATAAAAAGCAGAGTGTTCATTGTGATGGGACAGTCATGCTCTTTACGAGGACCTGCCTCACCCACCCCAGATCCAAGCACCCCTATACCATCCCATTTAGTCTGGAACACCTCCTGTGTTCTGTTTCTAAGACTACTGCTGCAGACTTTGTGCTTTGCTGCTGTGCCTTTTTTACTTCTCTCTTTGCTTTCTTTTTATGGGGGGGTTATACTGGAATATCGTGCTTGATGTGTATATTTTTAATTTTGGAAAGGCAGGGTTTATGTATTTTCATCAATAATTTTTTTGAAAACTGTAAACCTTGCACACAATATTTGCTCTAAACTGTGGAGTCTTCTGAGCAAACATTCTACTTTGTGAGCTACTGGCATTAAAGTTGTGAGTGAGTGATTTGGCTACTGTGAAATTAGTTTGCTCTGGAGCCCTCTTTCCTGTGCTGAGACAAAAATGTGTGAGCCAGAGGCTAAAAAACTGAGCTAGCTCAGACTAACTCAGCTTAGAGGGAACACTGCTTGCACAGTGTCACGTTTTAGCTGTTTACAATAAGGTATTGCCCAGCTTTTGTTTTAAGTACATGGGGCTGCCTTTGTCGCAAATCCGGAGGCTGCAACTGGTGCAGAATGCTGCGGCCAGGCTGTTAATGGGTCTCTCTAGGAGGGACCACATTCAGCCTGTGCTGAAAGCGCTGCACTGGTTGCCAATAGCGTACCGAATTCGCTTCAAAGTGTTGGTTCTTACCTATAAAGCCCTACATGGTCTGGGTCCAGCCTACCTGAGGGACCGCCTTACCCCGTATGTTCCCCCAAGAGCACTACGGTCTGGGGCCCAAAACTTACTAACTGTACCGGGCCCCAGAGATGCAAAATTGGTCGCTACAAGGACCAGGGCCTTCTCGGTGGCGGCCCCTACCTGGTGGAATGAGCTCCCGGAGGAGATCCGGGCCCTGCGGAACCTGATGCAGTTCCGCAGGGCCTGCAAGACGGAGCTCTTCCACCAGGCCTTCAAGTAGGGGCCGCCGCCTCCCGCCCCCCCCTTTTGTTATACTGCCATCACGGGGGGTGGAAGAGGCCCTAGGAAGAAAGGAAACATCGGAAACACTGGAACTTCTGAACATCTTAAGCATCTTAACCACCTGAATGAATGTTTGAAACCACCGAATGATTTTGGGGAACCTCTGGACTGGACCGTCATCTTTTGGAGTTTTTTTGGGACGTGAAGATCAACGAGCACTTTAAATTTAAATTTGAATTCAATTTTGTATTAGGATTGGTTTTAAATGTATATTTGCTTTTTAACTCAGAACTATGTTTTATTGTTGCAATAATTTTGCCTGTTAGCCGCCCTGAGCCCTACGGGGGAGGGCGGGGTATAAGTGTGATTAATAAATAAATAAATAAGTAAGAAACCTCGTGTTTGGGTAGAAGACGTTGCCTTTAGTGTGCCCTCCCTTTAAATAGCAGCAATGTTCTTTTGTTGGTGTGTTTCCTAGTTAGTGTGGGCTAACTCCCTCTAGCTACCTTTGTAGTGATCCTGGAGCCTGGCAGGAAGAAAGCTCAGTGACTGCTGTTTCTCTCCCCCCCCCCCTTCTTCTCAGGAGCCTCTTAAACAAGCCCAAGAGCGAGATGACTCCGGAGGAGTTGCAGAAGCGGGAAGAGGAAGAATTCAACACCGGGCCCCTTTCTGTCCTCACACAGTCTGTCAAAAACAACACTCAGGTGCTGATCAATTGTCGTAACAACAAGAAGCTTCTGGGGCGTGTCAAGGCCTTTGACAGGTAGGCTCTCCCTCGTGGTTTTCACCGGCATGGTCCGGTAGGGCAGAAGACTTTGTTAGCTTCAGTCATCTGAAGTGCTTGTGGACTCCCTATATCTATATATCTAATAGCCAAGTTGCCCCCGGGGTGCGGATCGCTAAATCAGCGCTCCGGGGGCACTTGGGGGGGAGGGGAGGTTTGTGCACACGTGTGTCCCCATGTGTGCACAAAAATACTAAAAGTTGAAAATCCCCCCGAAAGTGCAAGAGCGTCTCCTGCGCATGCGCAGGGGACACTCTGGAACGTCGTCGCTGCCGCCGGAGCCGGGGGGGTGGGGAGAGAGAGAGTGCGAGGTGCCTCGGAGACGGTGAGGGGGGGGGGAGAAAGCCGGAAAGAGACGGAGCCGAGGCCGCGGCCCTCGG